AGTGATTCTGAGAGAATTCCAACAGTTTACTCTATGAAATTTGCCTATTAGTATTGAACTCTACCGTTCAAATTTCGAACATGAATTTTGGCTCAGTGGTTTGGGTGTGCTGGCTCCAATCTGTTAAGTGAGGGTTCCAGTCCCGTTACGGTTAAAGTTAGGAAGTAGTTACTTGGGGTTCACAAAGCTCCCCAGCAGGAGTTACGTCCCCCGGCCGTCTTTTGATCTTTTGCTCATTGATCATAAGATTCTAAGGTGATGTAACCATAACTTCCTTTTCACGAAAAATTAATTTGTATATTACAGTTGATACAGTATAGTATACAAAGCTAGGTAAAATTGAGAAGTAATTACGTCTACACACATTAATATAGACAAACTTTCAACTGAGCTCAAATTTCTGATTGATAAAATTCACATTACATTATCGTCCAAAACAGTGTTAAGTTTATGTCCTTAAAATCCCATCTTTTTCCAAATAAATGCTTAAGCAAAGTAAAAATGACAATGATTAAAATATTTGATCCAATCACTTTACCTTTGTTTTATTATTATCTCAATTTAGATTTTTTAATATTTATAAAATATCTCAAATCTAATAATACAATTTAATAAAAAAAATTAGCCTATCAAAAAAATTAGCTTCAAGGCATCGGCGCTAAGGATTGTGCAGCAGCCAATTTGTCAGCCTGCTTTTTCTTTTTCGTGTGTTCTGCAATGCGTTCCTTTAGCTCCTTTATTTCCATGTCAGCGCTAAGCAGTAAAGTTTTGGTATCCTGCACCTCTTTTTTTACTAATTCCTCAGCGCGGGCGAGTGTCTTCAGGACCTCCACATCCGAATATGTTGGCAGATAGTCTTGCATGGCAAGCGGGGCTGATTGTCGATCTGGTCCAGCCATTAGTTTCTTGTAAAAAGATTCTGTCGGCTCATTAAACACGAGCTCGTCGTAAAATTCGCTTACTACTGGCTGCACCCAATCGTAGCAACAAGTTTCAGTTAGTATCACGATATAAATATTCATCTATTAAAAGCAACTGAGTGACCTTTTTGGTACTAGCAGGCTGGCTATTAGGCGGATACAATACTAACAAATGGATGATACTGATTGGTCGCTCGTTCGGGTCTTGAAAGTAGATCTGAATGCGCGTCTCGAACTCGCCCCAACCAAGCTCTGTCACCTCATACGGTGGCTCCGTTAGTACTAAGCAAAATTGATTAGATGAGTTAACATATCAGATTAATTACAAGCTGGAAACTATATCATACCGCGAACTGGGTTGGCAAAGCTTACGTGTAGACTTATAACAACCTTACTGATCATGTAAGACAAATCCTCATTGTCCACACCACGCAAATAAATTGACCAGCGATGAGTCTTGGTCTCCTCGGCTTTGCGACCGAGGTACATGGCCACCGATCCATAGACAATGGGCTTACTCACCACCACGTTCTTTTGTCGGGCGTCTGACATGGACAATAACTGGTAAAACACAAATTGATTCGTCAAAAAGCGTATCAATAATTACTGATTGGGTAAAATGTCTGTGTAATCATTCATTTCATTAAGATGAAGCGGAAAAGTAGTGCTCACATGGCAGCAAGCGAAGAGGAAGGCTTACCAGTGAAAAAAATAGGTTGGATATTGTTTATTATATAAATCTAGTATTAGTGTGCTGGGCAAGAAAGCGCTATATGTTTTCAGTCACTGTAATGATCGCTCTGAGGTTTAAACTTGCATGTGATTGCACTTAGCGGTGACGGCTTCAGAAGCTAAGAAATGCAGCACTTTGGTGGAGAATGACGACACGATTGATGTACAAAGCTTTTTGCTGCGCGACTGCCAAGAATCATCGAAAGTATGCTTTCTGAATGTACAATGACATTCATATTAAGATGAACTCGTATGTCTGTCCCTGTAGCAATTGGTGGCGCAAGCAAAAAAACGAGCATTAGAGCTTCAACAACAGCTTGAAATAGGCAAAAAAAGACTTCTTGATGCATTTGATGCAGAAAAAGAGAATTTTCGCGACGGTATAGTGGTAATCGAAACGTTTGGATCACTTGAAGAGCTAAGGTGGACTTGTTTTGATGAAAGATGGAGAAGCATATCCTCAAGCATATGTAGTCTCAGTACGATGTGTGACCGGGCCATATCACGAAATGAATTTTTCGATGGAAATTAACGTGGTAAGTTCGTTAAAGAACCCAGAAAGTTGTCTTAACTAAAATGTGCAGTTTGGTTAGAAACGATGTTCATCCTGCTTTATTGGCCGCTCTACTGGCCGAAAATTTCGACCTCCACGGGGATTAAGCATGCCAAAAGATTTAGAACTTTCCACATCACACGCACAGGTTAATTATTTATATACTATGCCCCCACAATGCGTAGCCAAGGTAACTTGTCCATGCGCTACCATGCACAGATTAAAATGGAGACGACAGGAAAGCTCTTTTTCATTGATTTGGATAGTACCAACGGCACCCGTATCGATGGTGTTGAGTTGGAGCCAAACGAGCCATTTGAACTAGATGCCAGCAAACCTATTAAAGTTGAGATTGGGGCCGGCGAGTTTGAATTTATGTTTGAGCAGAAGGCGTAGTTCACGCCGATGGAACTTTATTGCAATGTCTCATCAAATCCCTAGAGTTACTTAGCGCTGATTGCTGATTGCTACACAATAATATTATTTTCCAAATTCGTCTCGTTTGTTCAATGCGTCAGCTGATGTAGCTCTACAAACGAAAAAACAATTCAGCACCTGAGTCTTTTCGATATTCAAAAGCAAAGAGACCAGATCGTTTATCTGGCCTAGCCCGACGTCGACTTTGGGCTTGAAAATTTCTCTTTTAGATCTTCGACGACCTTATCCGCTTTGTCCAATGCTGCCTGTGAGCTAGCGTCGCCAGCGAACGCCATCTGACACGTTGTCCAGCTTGATCCAGCACCAGATCCTGCGCCTAACCCCGTGATTAGTCCACGACCAGCACCAGAGCCTAAAGAACAGTCCACAACAATAACATTTGAGAATTTAAATAAATCCTCTAGGTATCACAATCCGACAATAACTTACGCGCTAGAACAACCGACGTGAGCCCTCCAGCCACAAGACCAGCGCCAAAGTATAGAGTGAAATTTTCCAAGCATTTGTCCCACTTCTCAGAGATGCGGTACTCAGACGGGATTTTCTTGTCGTCTTCCATGATCTACTCAGCTTCTCGGACGTAAGGACGGTGGGATTTACTGCTTTTAACCACTCAGCAAGCTGGACAAATACTTAATTCATACAAAAATATAATAATTCCGTTCTTATATGAAAGTAAACAATGGACGAGAATCACGTTGTGCTGCTTGGTACAATTCAAGAGCGTCGAAATGTGAATGATAGATCACCTTATGTTTGCAAAGCAGGAGGAACACCAGTATGTTATCGAGTGAAGTATATAAAATTTGTATGAATATCTGATCATTCTTTGCTTTGTAGGCTTGGTATATGGACCCACCATCGGAGGCTAATAATTTGACGTGTAGTAAATGTAGCAAAGCTTTGTTTTTAGTTGCACAAGTGTATGCTCCAGTGGAAATGGATCGGACACTTTACGTTTTCGGATGTAATTCAAAAGCGTGTACTGAAAACCCTGGCAGTTGGCGAGTATTGCGTGACCAGATTAATTCTGTTACCAGATCGACTGAAGTCCAAATCGAAGAGATGTCAAAGCAGGTTGATCGGATTAAAGTTGCATGGGGATCCGACAGCGATGGTAGTGATTGGAGTAGTGATGAAGATGATATTATGGCACCAGTCCCAACAATTGAAACTGCGGATCTAGAGATGTTATTGCAGCAACGAAATGAGGTTATGAAATCTAGTGCAATGAAAAGTAAATCGACCTCTGTGTTTGAGAAAGTGAAAAATGAAAAGGAGTCCGATTTAAGTGGCAAGCAAAATGCCTTTCCGGCTCTAGCGATTGAAGTGATTGAAGAACCATTTGAAGACTACTTAGCTGAACACGACTTTGAGCACGAAAATCGTCTTCTCGAAGAATATATGAAGCTTGAGGAGGAAGAGAAATCGACCGATTTAAATGATTTGCGAACCTTGATCACGAATCTGAAAAAGAAGGAAGGAAGTTTACATTCTGGTAAAGTCGGCCAAAACGAGTCTTACGAAAGGACTCCAGCACAGCAGCGACATTTACTGCGCTTTCAGAAACGCATTCGTCGATGTCCACTGCAATGCCTTCGCTATGACTATGGCGGCGAACCGCTTTGGCCGGTAGTAGCTCCTCAAAACTTGAAAGTTCCTCCTTGCCCTGGCTGCGGACAAGAGCGTTTTTTTGAAATGCAGTTGACACCGACAATGATTTACTTTTTAAATGTTGATCAGTACATTTCGACCGACAATGTCATTCAGCAGCAACCTACGTCCCTTTCCGATGATTCTAGATCTAGATGTGACGCACATAAAGCACTTGCACCGTTTGGTGGCATGGACTGGCTCAGTCTGATTGTCTATAGCTGCTCTGCAAGTTGTGCTCATAGTCATGAAGAGTTTGTCTATGTGGTGCCTTAGATTAGAGTAGCAGAGATTTCACATTTGACACGTTATGTTGTTTCTTTATTATGTATGAAGAGTTGTTATGGTTGGTTCTTCAGACTGCAAAAAGCATCGATCAAGCCAACTATCTAAAAGCTCGCTTGAAAATTAGATATTAAACCTTTGTCTTGACAATTTCTCGATGAAAAAAGTCACCTCGATCGTTCACTCTCCTTCTACGCCCATCTATGCTAATAGTCTTAATGTCGATGACGAGGTGCTGATTTTACCGAACCTGAGGCTGATAATCATCGAGCTTGTCAAGTAGTGTCTTGGAATAATGAGGAGAGTAATACTCCACCACTTCTGGGGGATAACAACTATTGATTTCAAATATGTACTCGGTGAGTTTCCCAGCTGCGACTTCGCTTAGTTGTTGTAATAACTCCAATCCTCCGTTTTGCACAAAAGACCTTCGAGCTTCAAGATCATGTGGCAACATCTGAGCGAATTGTTTGAGAACATACTTCTGTACTTTCAAGGGTGCATCACGTAATAATGGCTGCAGAGCTTGCAGATGGGTACATTTACATAAAATGCTTTTCAATGCACGCTTAGACTTAATCTTGAGATCATCCGAGCTGTTCGGATGAATCATACAAGCGAGTATATGACGCAATACATCCGCCTCGGCTACTGCGCGTGAATGATCCGGTGTGTGGCGACCAATCTGACCTAATGTCCATGCACTCGCGGCTTTAATATGATCTTCAGGTTCCGAAATAAGCGCATTTTTCACAGGGGTGATACCTTTCGATGCAATCACGGCAAGTGCTAATGTTTCCGAAAAAGCCGAGATATACCCGAGCGCCATAATGCCAGGCAATTTATTGTTACCAGATGCTTCTGACACATAGTCCACAAGTACGGATGCACCCCCGGCATTGATAATCAGCTTTGATAGTTCTGGTGTGTGCTTTGCAATTTCGCGAATACATGTAGCGGCATTTTTTCGAACAATGTGATCAATATCCTTCAAGCTGTACAATATGTTTGGAAATATTTCGGCTTCCACTACAATTTCGGCCAGATCGACGGAATGCTTGGAGATTTGTGCCAAACAGCTGCAAACTTGACGCTTGAGTTTCGCATCCGGATGCTGAATCAAAGGCGCTAAACACGATACAGTGCCTGGGTCGACAACAGCTTGTGCAAGTTCTGGTGAGTGTTTGGCAATATCACTAAGTGCAGACGCAGCCACACGCTTCAAAGCCACTTCCGGTTCTTGGATACAAAGTACGAGCAACGACACAGCACCTGCATCCACAACATGCTGTGCGAGCTCTCCAGTGTGTTGAGCTATGTAACCAATGGCCCATGCAGCTGCTTCTTTCACCGTTGGATCAAACTCTTCTAAGCATGGTACAAGCGATTCTAATGCCCCCGAATCAACCACAGCTTGAGCGAGCTCGGGTGAATGTTTAGCTACTGCACGTAGCACAAAAGCTGCAGCTTTTTTGTAAAAACGGTTCTTTTCCGAGAGCGAGTAGACAAGTTGAGGCAAGATTTCGTTACCTACAACAGCTTCAGCCAGGTCATCGCTATAATTGGCTAAGCGACCGAGAGCCAAAGCAGCAGATTGCTGGATACTCGGTACATTATCAAGAAGCAAAGGACGTAATAGCTGCATAACGCCAGCATTTTGCATCACTTCGATGTTCTGTGGTCGAGAAGCAGCCTCTGCGACAGCTTGAACGAAAGTAACTCGAGCTTTTTGAAAAGTCTCAAAATGTTGGAGTACAGACGTTGAGGCCATTGTTCACCAAGTGTCAGCAAGTGTTGAGTTTTCGTTTCTTTCTAATTTCGTGAACGTCTACCACTGAGACTAAAATTCGTTTTCTGCCATGCCGTGGGATTGAACACTTCCGCTGCACTCTTTGAAGGAGAGCTAGCTATAAATATAGGCATTCTTCATCTAAGAAAGGTTTAGCATAATATGCCAATGAATCTAAAAAAGATGCTCAAGTTATTTTTGATACACGTTCCCAGTCGGAACTCATATATTCTTCCCTCACCAGTTTTTACTGCTTGTATACTTTTTTGGGAACAGTTTGTATGTTGTCATCTTCCAGCATGCGAATAGCATAAGGCAGAAAGAGAAGTCTGAAGATGTATAAACGGTATACTTTCTACGCGAATTAACTGTACGCGTTAGATATTCGTCACGGTCATAGCCTTTCAGTCCACTAATACGATTGACTAAATTTTGATTTGCCGACTGTACATCTCAAATACACTTTTGTATTTCTGAATAAAGAAAGTCCTCTACGCTTTTATCTCAACAACGCTCGAGACGTCATCACGCTGTCAGGTTTAATGTTTATCGGTTTAACATTGTTGAATTGCTATTTGTTTCTACCGGTACAATACAGTATAGATGAGGACGCATACTTTGCTAGTCACCAGACAACTAAACCGGTACCGAGAGTTTGATTTTGAAAAAAATGAGCAAGTGCGAAGAGCGCGACAATCTCCTAACTAGCAATGGGATCATCGTGGTAGAATATAACGCAGTGCCCAATGCTACATCGAATTTAACATTTCAGATATCTGACAACGACTCTAAGAATAATGTACCTCGAGAAGGACGATCGCCTGACTTGCTATCATTTGAAGTGTTGGCGTTGCTGATGCAATACGCAGGTATTGGCTTTGTCAACGGTGTACTCCCAGCTGTGATCTATCCCGTTTTACAAGGATACCTCAATGCAGAAGGAACGATCGTTGTTTCCGCGACTTTACTTGTGCAATTGCCATGGTCGTACAAAGTATTTCTTGGAATTTTAAGCGATTGCTTTCCTATCGGTGGATTTCGTCGACGACCATATATGCTCATTGGCTGGATATTGTGTTGCAGCATGCTCTTCATCATGGCAACTTTTCCAGAATCGAAACCATATTTTGGAGACTCAAGCATGCATTTCATTCATCCTGACAAATGGACCGAAGCTCAGCGTAAAAGTATCAACTCAAATGCACCTGATGCAGCAGGGCGCTATGTGATGCCAATGATGATGGCTGCGTTTGGTTATCTACTTGTCGAGGTTTCCGCTGATGCCGTAACTATCGAGTTTTCACAACGCGAACCATTATCCACCCGTGGTCACTTGCAATCGTGGATCCACAGCCTTCGCATGGGGTGTAGTGCTGTAGGAGCTCTCGTCGTTGCACTTGCATTCAATAGTGCAGAATATGGAGGCTCATTTGATTTTTCGCTTTCATTTCCTCAGCTCACATTCTTTCTTAGTTGTCTATGTCTACCACTTGGCCCTGCTGCTTGGTTTCTTGTGCAAGAAAACAAGGTAGAACCGCCTCAATTTAAAACGTACATGGCTCAATTCTGGAAGGTATTGCAAAAGCGTGCAGTTTACCAAGTTGTTGCGTACAAGTTTTTTTCTGGCGTGTTTAACAATTTTAACATCGTGTCGTCGAGTAACATTAAACTGTTTTGGGTCCATGCTACACCATTTAATTCAAGTCTCATGACCATTGCAGGCACTCTCACGTACGCAGGAACTCTGGCTATAATGGCTCAACGTGGATTGCATTGGGACTGGCACGTTGCTATCGCTGTGACTGTTCTGTTTGGAGTATTCACTGACTGCATGATGACGATGATGGTAACATGGGATGTTTTTCGAAATCAGTGGTTTTGGCTCGGTGTACCCGTCATTGGTGAAGTGCCACATGCTGTGCGTTTTATCATAAGCAACTACATAGTCGTCGAGCTCATTGAACAAGGAATTGAAGGCGCGTTATATGGAATCTTAACAACAACCAATCACGTGGCTGCGCCATTCGGTCGTACGACTGCCAAGATCATCAATGCACAATTTAACGTCTGGAAGGAAGATATTCTTGCTGACACGAACAAAACACGTCGGGATGTAACGTATACGATCTGGCTCTGCTATGGCATGAAGGTAGTGTCGCTGATCTTCTTGCCATTGCTTCCAAATCAAAGGAATGCTGCCCAAGCACTTCGTCGGCAAGGAGGCGTAAGCAAACAAAAGGCTATTTGGATGATATCAATCCTTGTGACTGCACTGACGTGGTTCACAGTAGTTAATATATTGAGTATGAGCCCGGCAACAGAGTGCTGGGCCATCACGGGAGGCTGTAGGCGATAACTTAAACTTAAAGCTCCATATATATAGATACCGGTATCCATTCGTTTATGAGCGCATTGAAAGCATATAACCCTCCACTGATGCGTCGGCTACACTGTGCAGCATCACTGCTACAATCAAATCATGGGTCTCATAACTCATTAAGTTTGTCTTTAGACGCTGGCAAAGGTCTTATCCGTTTGGCAAAGCTGATGGCGCAAAAGGGCCTCTGCTCTCGACGCGAAGCGGATGCGTACATTCAAGCAGGAGATGTACTGGTCAATGGTGAACGTGTAAAAGCCGATTGGCTAAAGGTACCAATAGACAGCGAGATTCAATTGGACTATAGGGCTCAAAGGCATCAGAACAAGAAGGTGACGCTGGTCTTAAATAAACCCTTGGGCTATGTGTCTTCCCAGCCAGAGAATAACAGGACGCCTGCTGTCCGTCTGCTTACGTTTGATAACGAGTGTCTTGAACTAAGTCATGTAAAGCCCCGACAAACTATAGAGCCTGTGGCTTTGTGGAAGTTGGCAGTTTGTGGTCGTTTAGATGTCAATTCGACTGGACTACTGCTTTTTACACAGGACGGAACGATTGCGAAGAAGTTACTGGATCCAAGGAGTGGCATCGAGAAGGAATATCTTGTACGTGTGAATTTGAATCTAGATCCTTTGACGAGTGACATTCTTAAGAAAGTCGACGTATTGCGGAAGGGTGTCACGTCACACGAGGGCATCACTTACCGTGCCAAATCAGTGGAAGTGTTAAATGCGAACCAGTTGCGAGTGATTCTTACGGAAGGAAAGAACCGACATATTCGGCATATGTGCGAACACGTCGGTCTACGTGTAATGGCATTAAAGCGTGTACGCATCGGAGACATAAAGTTAGGATCGCTGCCAGTCGGGCAGTGGAAGTATTTGCAACTGAGCGATAAGCTTTGAAATCAAGAAAGTTATGAAATGACTAAACATCGTTATACATTTGTGTCAAGGCATTGATTAGTCAGCAGCTAAGTTGAAGTCGAAAAGGCTGGCCGGATCGATCTACAGGATCAAAACGCCATTTTTATCAAAGGATACGATTTGTACGCGCCATTCTTATCATCTACCTTGTGATCATTTGTGAATATCACACCCTCTTCCGCCAGCAGTGCCCGCTTCTTTTGAATAGAAGGTGATGCTTCTCCACTCGCGCCTACGTGAAATGATCAATTTAGTATCGATCACATCTTTACATATTTCTCATTTGCAAATGAACCTTGAAATCCTCCAATGTCGAGTGTAGCAGCCACGACTCGGTGACACGGGATCCCAGGGGCGAAAGGATTCTTCTGTACCTCATAAGAGACTTGTAAGTAGCTACCAATCCAAACAGTATAAGCAACGTCACATACACGCAAGGCCTGACCAACACATCGTGGTCCTGATTGAAGCGCCTTTGCGACACCGCCATAAGTACTAACTTTGCCTCTCGGAATCTAACAAACGCATTAAGTATACTTATCCACAGACGTAAGCAAGCCGCACCTTTGCAATGAGTTCATACACACGTGATTCTATTGCGTGAAATACAATGAGCCAACGGCGTCACGAAGCGGCTTATAAGTTCGTACCAAACATTGTGATAAGCTTTCCACGCCACAGAATACGCTGCGTAGGCTTGTGCTTGCTCCTTAACTCTCGCTTCTGTTCTACCTTCATTAAAGGTTGAGAGCTGAGCGGTCACGATGATTGGCAGTCCCCTATATCGAATCAGTCGAAGATTACAGATTAAAGGCATTATATTGAGCCTTGATGCTTTCGAGAAGCCACCATATGCTATATTTTAAATCGTTTACGTGGACGTTGTCAGCCATATCGTCTACCTACAATTATCGTCGCTCCACTTCAATGGTGAGGCTCACCCACTTCTTCTTAGACGGTCCCTTCTTTTGTTTCTTGTCATCATCAGTCTCAGCCTTGACCTCTTGATCCGTATATGAGGAAACATTGCCAGCTGCATACTCCTCTTCAATGGCGTCGTCTACGCGAATCTTGACTGTATGCTCGCCTAGTGTCTTAATCGGTTTGGGAAGGTCAATGCGAGCCACACCTACAATAAGCCCGTGTTGCTTCTCTAACATGTCAGAGATGTTCTGCACATTCACTTCGCTATGCAGCTTGACGTCAGATTTGGATGGTGTATGACGTTTAAAAACCAACTCAATGTTACTAAGGTTGTGAATGATTGCCTCAAGCTTCTGTTCCTTCTCTAGCAGCACTTCGTCCACCGACTCGTGGTTCAATTTATACTTTTCGCGGTTGGCACTTGTTGCATATACCGCTAGCTTTTCGGGATATAAAAAGTTACGCGCATATCCAGCTTTCACGGACACTTCATCGCCACGATTTCCAAGCTTAGGCACATCCTCTTTGAGCACCATGTTCACGCGGTGTCTGCCAGTCAGTCATACATGTTGATTTATCATCTTTGAAGTCAAGAATGGCCAAATCAATAAAAATGATTGAGCACATACGCAAATGAGCGAACTTGTGGTGAGTCAATGTTGTACAGCCGAGATACACATGACTTTACTGACCGCGCAAGCATCGTAAAGAGGTCAAACAGTAATCGTGAGTATGAGAGCCACAAAAAGTAATTGAGATTCAGCCAATTATAATTGCATATGAAGCAATTACTATGCTACATAAACTACTACATGGTTACAACATTGAAGAATTACATACACACAACTCATCACTTGATGGTGATTTATTTCAAGTATCAATTGTGGATAACCAGGCATTGATTGGCTTGTAAGGACTCGACTTGTCAGTAGCTTAAACTTAGTGGTTCGACTCGAAGTCACTGCAGATTCTTCTCAAGTAACCTTTGACAACCCTTCAAGCTCAGCGATTACGGTCGGAAACCTCTTGAGATTCACCCAATTGAGTCCGATACCAAGGAAAGAGAATCCAAGACCAACCATCTGCTGTATGGATAAAATGTGGCCAAAGAGTACGACTGACAGCACGATGCTGAGCACCTTACGGCATGTTCCGATGATGGCCGAAGTTAAAGCACCGAAGTTGCTGATGGTAAAAAATATAAAAGCTTGGCCCCATGCACCAGTGAAGCTCAACATGAAAAGGCTTGGGAGGGACGGAATTACGTACTTTAAAAAATGTGTCGCTTCACCATTAATCACCATACCAAAGGCTGAAAATAAAGCCTTGTAAAGGTTGACGGAAAACATGAGATCAAAAGCGCCAATATGGTACGTCTCCATGAATTTGTCCTCAAGGGCTCCAGTAGCTCCATCGAGAAAAAGTGATAAAACGAGAAGAGAAAAACCTATCACCATATTGGGCGTCCGCTTGTGCTCTGCCGAAGTGTCGTCATATGAGTTCTGCTCCACAGAATCCTCCTGCTTTTCCTGAACTGTGCCAAATAAGAAGATTGCTACTCCTGTCGATAGTACGATGACCGACAGGTACTTCTTCAAGTCATATTTCCTGCCCAAAAGTACACCTAAAACCATAATTGGTATGGATCTACACGATTTGCCCAATATTCTCGTGATGTACGTAACATATCGCAGAGCTACCATGGACGCGATTGTTGAGGCAAACGCCAACGCGCCAACTAATGCTAAAAGACTTTGGGGCATCGTCGATGGTTTCTCGTTCCGAACGCGACTTAATCCAATGGCCACTATTGAATTAAATGCACAGAAGACTGAAGTCATTGACATCTCGCCAAGTACACGGTGTGTCGCAATTCGTTCCAACATTATGCCATGTAGTGTAAAAGATACCATGATACCAATGAAACAATAGCACATAAGCCACATTCTGTTCTTGTTAACCACTTGTTCATAACCTTGATTTACTTTAGCCACTTCGTTATTGCGCATGCTCAAATTTCTACAAGGCGTTACTTCAAGCATCTCTTCGGTTTGGTGCAGAGATCGCGATGTGGCTCTGTCGCTTAATTCCATCTTGGCATACTGTGCATGATTGCGAGAAGAGGCACAGCGTACCATTCGACAAAGAAGATCTAAGCCTGATACCTACCTGTCTAGAGATGATTGATGTGCTTTATATTTGCTGTGCGATGAAATTTACCTGATAAACCAATTCAAATTGTGTATTTTGTATGTTTTGGTCACGAAAATTGGGCATCCTCAAAATTGGCATAAAAAACTTGGAAAACAACATACTTCAAGCAATGCCACAATCGCTGCTTCTCCAAAAGAAGATGCTATTACGACTCTCGCTGTTTCGTCGCCGGCAGCCAGCAGCGAGTACAGTGAGTCCAAAATGGTGTCTATCTCACAACAGTAAGACGTCGAAGGCGCGAATGTATCCGGCATCGCTCTCCAACTACGCGTCCATGGAGTATGGTATTCGGTTCAGAATGCGGTCAGTCTTTCATTACATTTAGCGCGTAGGATCATCGCGCCTTAAAGAAGCTACTTAAGTCGTCGAAAAACTATATACTGAATAGACACCATATTTAAGTTTTGGATATATTGTTCCTCTCAGCTAGGTCGCCCGAGACTTATGGATGCTGCTAAAGGTCTAGCTCTTACGCTGGCAACGACACACTCTCGAGGTACCAAGATGGAATTGTGCATGATTTCTCGTATGACCTCGTCAATATAATCACTGTTTCTTCGATGATGCGAGCGTATGAGAGCCGCGATGTGGGCAGCCTCCAGCAGCTGCTCCTGTGCCTCGTCGAGGCGATTGTTAATAATAACACTTCTCCCCGGAAGCCGAGAGGTTGGGAAACGGACACGGTGTTTGCAAGGTTCGAGCAGGGCTCACGTCGCGCTGTTGGCGCACCTCGTCCTCTTCTTCTTCCCATCTCGGGAAAGGAGTATCCGACTCGTAGTCGACTTCCTCCAAGGTATTCCGTCGCCCGTGGCGGGCGCGGTGTGCGACGCCCGATTGTCGAGGGCTTGGGATGCGCTACCCTTGAAACCGCGGACGTACTATCCGCAGTTGCCGCGTGCAGGAGACGAAGAAGGGCTCGGCCCGCGGGCGCTTCTAGAACCAGCGATACTGGGTGTCTTTCGTGTCATAAACACAGGACGTATTGAGCAGAGAATGCGTGCGGAAGGTCCTCCGACGTAAAAGTGTTTTGGACACGCGAGCCTCTTATGAGGCGACAGTCAAATGTGAATTGTGGGGTTTCACTATTTTGATTGGGGAGAGTGTAACGGGGGCTACACGTTCCCTGATATAAAGAAATGGGTCACACAAGATGGTATGACCACACAATGGTGTGGCTACACACTAATAAGAAGGGAGTGTGAAGCTTCTTCTGTATACCCTGCAGCTGTTTTTTGTTGCGCACTTTTCACGCTTCCCATACTTTGCCCGGATTGTCAGCGAGTCGGAGACTGTCACGCACCAGCTCAACTTCCTTTTCGATTGCCGATACAGCCTTCGGGTAGGCGAACTTCCAGTACCCACGACCGTGAAGTTGTGTGCCAGATCTGAATGTCAAACTGTGCACAAGGTGGTCTCCAGCATGCATCGGCAAAAAATATCTGGACGAGCCGTAGTAGCGGTTGCAGAATGATTCAGACATCAGTACATAGTCCAATCGGTTCTTCCGTGGAAGTGAACCAGTGAACACGTGTTGTAGACGCATACATCATACATCTTCTTGTCATGATGTATGCGCCATGCGTCAACAACACCAAGTCTTGCTAACCAA